CACACACACACACACACACACACACACACACACACACACACACACACACACACACACACACACAGTCTGCTCCGGCTGCGCAGCTAGTCGAAACCTCAGTGCTTTCTTGTCCTGTCTCCATGTTTTTTTACATTGTAATTTAAAATGTGACTTGTTCTTTAAGCTCAGTCTTTGTTCTGAACTGTTTCCGCTGTTATTACAAATGTAGAAAAATGTGGATATGCCAAGGAGGGTATAGTTATACAGTGAGGTTCTTGAGATAGGCCAAGAAAGCACTGATGTCGCGAAGTACCAGGCTAGGCTAATGTGCTGAGCAAATCTCAAATCCCAGTAGCTGTTACCACTGATTACCAGCACCTGCCAAGTAGAAGCATTCCAGAATGATCCCCCCAGAATGAGAGTACAATGGACTCGTCCCTGCGTCTTTAGTTGACTGCAGCTTAGTCTATAGTTCTAGGGAGGTGAACGAAGTCCGTGTGATCAGTTTTTTTTGTTTTTAGAAGATCTTATGGAGTGTTTCTTTTCCCATATTGTGGTATTCTTTTCTTTTCCTTTCCCTCCCGTCTCACACTTATCAACCAGGGTCGAGATGTCCGCTACCAGGCCTTAACTGTACTATTCTATTGACGCGCTGAACGTGAATATCGACTTCATTGGCGTCGCAAAATAATAGTTTTTGTAGTATTTGATGGTTTCTAATCGTATCACACATAACTAATTGCCTAGTCATTTGCACGATTTGGACCAATCTGGGAGAGGGCCCCTCTCTCCCCCCCTTCTCCTGAAGTGACAAAATCTGGGGGATTACAGACATTTGTTTTGCCCCCCCCCGCATAACTCATATATATGTGACGGTTCTGAACTTTCTAGGTCAAAGGTCAATCCACCGCAAATCACATGACTTCACCGCGTGGTTAGGCCAATACTAATACATGTGATAGCAAACCACGGATGAAGTATTGAAACTAGAGTTCGTCAGGATTACTTCATAAAAATATTATTATTATTACAATTATTATTAGGACATAATATATGTTGTTAGTTAACAGTTACAAGTTAAAATAGGCTCTTCTATGCTGACATATTATTTTAGTCAGGTCTTCTTAAAGGTAGACTTAAACAAGAGAGACAGTGTGGAAGGGGAGAGAGAGAGAGAGAGAGAGAGA